TCGGCGCTACCACGACGGCTGCATCATGGCAAGAAGCGGCTCCTAAATCATATGGATATCATCAATGGTCGCTGGCATGTGCCACATGCAGGGCATCATTGGGACAGCGCGGCGTCTTTGTATGCATGCACAATTGCCACCAAATGCAGCTGTACACTGAAAGAAATCAAGCCTAAAATAAAAAGTAAATTAAATAAATAAATTCCGTTCGAAAGAAGTAATAAAGAAAGCTGGAAATAGTTTGATTTAAGTTGAAATTTTATGTATTTTCTTGAGTTTTGGGTAGACATTATTTTTAAATATATCTCAGATAAACCCACAAATTATTTCCAGTGCTGCAACGGCTGAAAATTCTTTCCGCCTGTCGTCCTCTCAGCCCGGGAGTACATGGAGTGCATGTACGTTCTCCGCCTGAAGGGTGTCCCGTTCCGTTCCGGCATCGGTTCCCATTCATATTGAGTGGTTGATTGCCTTAATGAATGCCTCAATGCTGACAAGTTATTTGCGGCCACATTGCCAGGCAGCGTCTGTAAACATCCTGTCATTCCGCTATCCCATATATCCCGCTAGCCTGTTATCCTGCCAGCCCGACAGCTGCCGCAGGCACAGGCACAGTTGCATTTCCTTCCGTCTCCCTGCCTGCGGCGAGAGGAAGGCAGAGGCAGGCTGCTGCTGCTGCTGCTGCTTTGTTGATTCGTCCTGATCCTTATTCGCCGAAGGATGCGTCGTCACAGTTGCAATTGTTGTGTTTTTGCCTAAACTGTAACTGATTGTTCGGTTAGCGTGTGTCAGCAATCAATTCCAGGGAATAGAAAAGGTGTTATTTTTGGATTTTAAATAACTTAGAGGGAATTTTGATTTTAAAGGTGTTTTTTATGTACTTTGAACTTTAAAATTAAGTAATATTATAAAATAATAAATGATATAATATATATAAATATTTTAAGTCCTTACTAGACCTTCCTTCCCCTTTTTAAAACCCTTAAAAAAATATTAAAATTTCTATAAAACCCCTCAGAAAACCTGTCATTTTATTGTCTCCCGATTTCACCCATCTTATTTACATTTTAAAATGCAAATACCAACATAATAAGCTTAAGGGAAACCCCCTCTCAAGAGAGAGCCAAAAATAATATGTGTGTGTTTGAGGCCACTCACTCAAGTTGCCATATTAGATTCCCTTTTTTTGTGCCCTGGAATGGGCCTAATTAGGGCTCCAGGTCATGTTGTCATGAGAAACCGGAAAGAAGGAATCTCCTCCGGACACAATTAGGACGGAGTCAAAGTCAGAGAAACCCTTAACGCAGCCCGCATATAGGGGAAGGGTCGCTTCTCGAGTGGAAATCAAATTATTTTAATGATACACAAATTGATACTTTGAAACAAAATAACAAACGAAATGAAATTGCTGGCAGGGCTTTCGACTATTTTCGTGCATTTTTGTATTTTCAAGAAATAAAATAAAGAAGGGACAGCAGTGAAAACGGTTGTCATGGCCCCTTAGGAGGGGATCGACCTTAGGGAAAATTCCAAGAAAGCAACTCTAGCGTCGTTCAAAATTAAGTGAAAATTGGATTCTTTACATTTTGCTTTTCTACTTTTTCTACTATTTACATTTTTTTATATGTATATTCTTTGTGGGAAATTGGTTGGTAGAGTCTTTAATACCTGAAGCGTGTGCAATTGCTATTATTATGCAAATTTTTTGCTTTCATTGCATGCGTGTGTTTCGTCTTTTCGTCTTTTATCCTTTTTTATTTTTTTGTAATTTAAATGAGGGTTGTCCATGGGTACCATGTCCTCGTCCAGGGCAATAATGAGACAATTGAAATGTCAATAGCATGCAATTGTCTGCCATAACATCCCAGGTAAACGTAACCGGGCTCATCATTATCTGGCAAATGTGTATATAGCAGCGAAATGAGGGTTGTGTCAGAGGGGTCCTATTAAAGATAATCCAATAAGGACAGTTTCCCTAGGTTGCAGTTGAATAATATCATTAGCTAAGGTTAGTTTTAGTGGAAGATTTCTTGGGAATCAATATAAATTTTTGATATATAAATCAACCTTTTTCCTACGAAACAAATTACATTTTCACTAATCAAATAAGCAAATAACCCCAAAAACCAGGACAATTTCAATTTAGTTACAAACTTTAAACGGATCTTGGGTCCTTTTTTTAATGAACAAAAGTCTAGAAGCAAAGAATGCGGCAAAGGTTCTTTTGCAGGAAGTTGGGCAAAGGCAAAGGCAAAGGCCCGGGGGCTTTAATTACGCATACGCAGCGTTGGCCCAAAGCCACCACACAAGCAAATGAATCAGTCAGTCAGTCAGTCAATAGGGGGAGCAGGGGGTACAAAGGAGTCTCAGTTAGTCAGTCAGTCAATAGGGGGGGGAGCAGAGTCAAAGTTTCGCTTGGTTAACGTATGCAAATTAGGACTTGATATCTTGTTGACTTTCTGACCGCCCAGGGAACTTTTGATTCGCTTAAGTTTAGGTTTAAGTTTAAGTTTTCGTAAAAAGGATCTAGCTTACTGAAAGCCAAAACAAAAGTTGGTTTTTGTGAGAGGAAAATAAAGTTTTATTAAGGTTTGAGTGCCCTAAAAGAGGAATTTTCAATATCTACAAATATTTATAATTATTTTTAAGCTAATAAATAACTTTTATACTTCACATTAATGTATATAATATTATAATTATATTTTCTATTATTATTTACATTATCTCAAAGCAAAGTGCAGTCCAGAAACTTGTCACAAATCAGAAAATACGCTGCAAGACTTTTCAAGCCACGCCAACGGAAACGGAAGTCAGTTTCTTTCTTATTTTTTTGTTGTTGTAGCAATTGAAATAGAAATAAAGTACAACAACAACAACAAGGACAATGACCAAAACCGAAATGAGAAAAGTTGGGCAAGACTTTGGCGGAAATGTGGCAAGTAAATTGAAGTACCGACAATACCAGAGCCATATAACCATATCCAGCTCCCTACCCCCAAGGTCGCCCTTTAAAACCAAATTGCTGCCCTTTTTGTTTGACATAATCGAAGGATGTGGTCGGTTTTGTATTTTATTTGTATTTCTTATTTTTCTACTTATTTTCTTAGTGGCTGTCTGGTGTCTTTTTTGAGAGGAAATGAAAGCATTTTCTAGAGAGTTCTTAACTTCTTCTGATTATGGATAATCATAAATAAATTTGTATTTTAACTAAAATAGATTTGAAAAAAGAAAAAATGTTATTTTCTTTAAACAAATCTATAGTAAACTGAGCTCTAGACTTGGCTTTAAGCGGACATTGAACCATTTGGCCAGAGTCACTCAATTACCAAAGTGTCCAGTCGAGCTTATCAAAGCACCAGGAGGACATTGACTGGGCTCTCTAGGATGTGGTGAAAAAGCGGCGAGTCCTCTGGCTTTGTGTTTTGATTAAATGTCAAAACAATGGCGGGGGCTGCAGCATAATCAGAGTCCTGCTTGCGTAATTGCCCAATAAACCGGAAGCTGCACAACGGGCCTGGAAGATGGCCCGATGGTCTGATGGTTCCAATACAATCAAAGCTTTATGCATAAATTAATCCTGGAAGGCGGGAAGAAGGAAGAAGGCACGTACTTGGGACAGGATGGTTTTATTTTGAGTTTATTTAAACAAGATTTATTTGAAATATTTGTGAATAAAAAGTCTGTAGTTTTTAAATATATTTTTAGGAGAATTTAAAAAGGATTTTTGGTTATTAGTTAATGTTGTTTATATTGAAGAACTATATTTTATATATTTAATATAAAATATTTAATGTTTTTAAAGATAATTTCTCAGGGTTTTAATGTTTTAAGACATTTAAAAGTGGCTTAAAAAATATTTTAAAAAAACTTTAATACTTTTTGAGATTTTCAAAGTATCTTTCCTATTTGATAATATTGTTAATACCTTCTAACACCTAATAATATTTTCAATACCCCTAAATATATTTTAAAATAAAACTTAATTCCATTTAAAATAACTATTTAGACTTAAGGCCTCTCAAGCCCTGTGTGTGTCAAGATAACAGGCTAAGGAAAAACTTCCTAGCAGCAAGGGAAGGAAAATGCCTAGGGGGGTTGGGCCTTGACTTTAGGGTGGGATAATTGTAAGCCCTCCTGCTCTTGCCTTCCCCTGCTGCCAATCCAGCAAAGTAATTTTATAAATAGCTATAAAAAAAAGGCGAAAAAGTGACAGTAAAACAGGGAACAGGGAACATTTTTTTGTTAGAAAGAAAAGCCAAAAAAGACGCGTAGCTATTTGGCTATGCAGAACCTGATGACCTCATTAATTTTCAATCTGAGCCAGATTACAGACCCCGCTGGCGAAGGGTGTACCACGAGTATGATGAATTTCTTCTTCCCCTTGATACGCCCACCCTCCCTTCCCCCTCTTCTCATCTAATTTATGATGATAAATGAGTTTCAATCAAGCGGCAAAAGTTGAAGTTGACGGCCTGCTTTTGACCACTTGGCCAAAAGATTTGATGTATAAATTTTATACACAATTCTATTTGAAGTGGTGCGAGGATTTTCATTTGAATATTTATGAATTTCTGATAAGAAATTTGTAAAAATCAAGGTTCCCTTTATTGATTCAAATTCGCTTCAAAGCACAGGATTTATTTTTTTCGTTTTTATTTTAATTATGAAATTGCTTTGAAAGGCATTTCCATTTCCATAATCTCCAAGCGTATAATCTGCTATTGGTTTTGGCCAAGAGATCTAATTTATTGGATGGCCCAGTCACCTGGCCAGGAGTTGAAGCCATTTATTTAAATAATCTGGCTATATTTCAAATTGTCAGGAGGGAGGCAGCAGCCCACAAAAAAGGTACCAAAAAACAAATGAAATACATTTAAAACCCCTTTTTCAGCGGTCTCAGCGTTTTGCCAGGGCATCGAAAAAGGACATTGAAAAGGACATTTTATATACCATAATTTATTACCGATTTTCTCGGGTAAATCTGCCTCTTTGGGGTAATTATTTTCATTGACCAACGTCCTTTCTTTCACATGAATTTTATTTCATTTACAAACCTTTTACAATTTTATTTTATTTACCAACCCGGAGGATATAATATATTTGTGATATGATCATAGCCATTCCTGGTGATCTTGTAGCTGGCCATTCGATTGCCAAAATCAACGCAAACCCTTTCAGATCTCTCCCGGATGTACTTGGCATAGATAAAGGCACCCACAAAGGTATCGCCCGCTCCCAGTAAATCCACAATCTTCCTCGGCTTGTAGGCTGGCGCATGCGTATAGTTTCCATCAAGATCCATGATCCCAGCACCCTGATCCCCCCACAAGACAATCACAAGTGGACGCTTTAGGTTAAGGCCCCAACGCATATGCAGGCGCTCGTTCAGCTGGGAGCAGGCATTCTCCAGGGAAGTCCAGCCATTATCCGAGGCCAGCTGCTTGGAGAAGAAGGCATAGTCGCAGTAGTCAAGCATGGGGAACATCTCATCCAAACGCAAATCAAACTCTAGGGAAACCATGATCTTATCCTCCCCCTCCTGCCTGCTGGCATTGTAGGCTGCTATGTCCTTGAGCATCGCCATGGTGGTGTCAAAGTGCAAGGCCCTCATGTGAATCCAACCGTACTGACCCAGTTCCAGCTTACGAAAATCCTCGATGCTGACATAGGGAAAGCCACGATTGCAACTCACCAAAGTTCGGGCCTTCAGTGACTTGGTGAGGATCACAGAGGCAAAGGGTGGGGCCTCATCGCAGGTGGGGCAATTGTCCAAAATAATCCCACGGGCCTTCATGTCTTCTATGAGAATCTGAAATATCAGCTGGCTGCTGAGCATGCCAAAGAACTCCACGTTGACCCCAAAATTCCGGAGCACAGTGCAGTTGTTGGAGGCATTGCCTCCACGCAGATAATACCCAGCAATGGCTTTCTCGTGTATGCCCTCTTCCGGGAAATTTTTTACAGTGGAGACATAGTCAATGGTGGTGCTGCCTGTGCAGAGAACACGCTTTTTGCCGACAGCCCAGCTCAGCCTGTTGCCATGACCAGCCATAAGAGTAGCTTTAATTTTGTTTAAATATTTTAGAATTTAATTTATAAATTTCCCAAAAACCTAATAACTGTCTCTGGAGTGTCAGAATTTATTTGGAAATCGAAACAAAATTATGACAAGCTTTTAAAAGTTTAAATAAAAATAAGAAAAAATCGGAATACTTCAACAAAAATGTCCAAATGGTGTGCTCTTAGCGTTATGAAGGCCGTGCTCTGTGTGGGCTGCACGGAGGTGGACTATGTGACCACCATGGAAAAGGTAGACTTTCAGAGCACTTATGCCCGCACTCAGGATGGCATTATAAGGCGCAGTGGTCGCTCCTCCAATGTGAGCACCATCCTGCGTCTCCTGGGAGCCAATGTGGAGCTTTTTGGCGTGCTCACCCGCAATCCCATGTACCGCATTATCCTAGACGATCTAGAGCAAAGGGGCATTGACATTAGCCACTGCTCCTTTACGGACGAGAGTCCTCCCTTCTCCACCATCATCCAGGAGAGATTTACACGCCGCTGCACTACGGTTTACTGTGACAAGCCCTTTCCTTATGTCACGGCTGAGGATTTCCGGAAGCTGGACCTCGATCTCTACGGCTGGGTGAACTTCGAGGCTCGCTCTCCTGTGGAAACCTGCGAGATGATCCGCCTGGTTCTTGATCACAACAATGGACGCCTTGAAGAGGATCGGGTGGTGATCTCCCTGCAGATCTACAATTCCTTCAACCAGATTAAGGATCTCATAGCAATGTGCGACTTTGTTTTCCTCTCCAAGTATGTAGCCGAGCAGCAGGGCTGGAACTCAGCGCGAGAGGCCTGCGAGGGCATGAATGACCTTTTGAGGATGCCCAGGGACATCAAAATCAGGAGACCTTGCTTTATAGTACCCTGGAGCAATCTCGGGGCTGGTTGCATGACCAGCGATGGCAACTACTCGGAGGTGCCCGCCCACAAGCCCAAGAAGATTGTGGATCGGGTGGGGGACAGTGACTGCTTCACCGCCGGCTTCATCTATGCCAATTTTGTGCGTCAGAGGCAAGTGATCGATGCCGTGGACTTTGCCAATGCCGTGGCTAGTTATAAGCTGGCCCATGTGGGTTTCGATTGCCTGGGCAGCATGAAGGTGGACTCGGTGAAGCTGAGAGTCCACATGGTGGAAGCGGATCTGGTGTCCTCGGATAGTGAGGATGAAGACGATCCGGAACGTCACTGCAAGAAGTATCTGTTCAGACCCTTTGAGTTTCGAGAGGCAGACGAGGCTTCCATAGTCACGCAGGAAGAGCAAGTTCTTGCCTAGTTTTTTGTTTTAAAATTATTTAAAAATATATTCTTTTGGAAAACAAATATATATAAAATTTAGCTGGATGATTGGAATAGCTTCATCTTATCCCTAGCAGGACCAAAGTGATGGATAAACTCATTGAGGGAGCTCTCGACATCGCCCAGCTGCGTCGAGATATGTTTAAGGTGCAGCAACTGCTCCTCTTTGGTTTCCAGAGGCATGGCCACCTCCTCATCGGTCTCACTTTCACCGATTTCCTCCAGCTTAATGAACCTGACCATATGATCTTCCAGTGTATCGACCACCATAATGGTGTGTCCTTGCTGTATAAAATGCTGGAGGGCCAGGGCATCGGCTATGATGACATTATCCTCAGCACTGACCAAGTATCTGCCAAAGATACCAAACTCTTCCGCTGGAATAAAGATTATTTAAGATTTTTTTTGATAATTATTAAGAAGTTAAAACCCACCAGCAGCTAAAATACGATTCGTGGTCAAGGTTTGGAAAACTCTCAGCAGCTTTCTGGATTTGTTGCTCGACGAAATGAGCACATAAAACTGGCCATTCTTAATGCTAGACATATTTGGAGATTTCTTTTTTAGGGATTTCTTAATTTAAACATCCAAAAAATTTATGATTTCAAAGGGAACCGTGACTAGTTTTTCGTAGCTAAAGGCAAAGCTATCTTTGTTAATTTTGCTTTGAAAGACAAGACAGAATTTCGTTTTCAAAGACACGGCATAATTTCCTTCAAATGATTTAGTTCTCACAGACACAAGGGTAGGTAATTCTAGAGAGATAACCCTCAGAGGAAATGGCCAAAGATACAAAGATACATATATATATATACTATATATTTTGTGTGTGCTTAAATGGCTGCCAAAGGAAGAACTGTTGCCACAGCATAATTGCCACATGATTAATTCTTGAGTCAGGCGAAACTTGTCCGGGTCCGAGAGACCAAGATAAATGCTAATAGATATACATTTATGTAGAAGTTCTGCCCGGTCCGGTCATTTATCATTTTGGACAACAGGCAGACCCTGCCTGGACAGGGCAGCAACAACAATTACCACGAATATAAGTGACAATTTTCATGCATTTCCCTTTGGCCACGCGGCGTATGAGCGATGAAGATAATTTTCGGTGCAAAGCAGCAGAGATTACCCACGAAGAGGAGCAGGAAGGAGGAAGGCATGAGCAAATCGATAAATGTCCCACCAAATGCTACCCTATAAAAAACTTTACTTCTGGCTGCATCTGGTTGTGGCAACTCCCTCATAAACACATCCACAACTTGAACTTTTTTCCATTCGAACTGCTGTGTGTCGCCGGCACACGATTATGAAGCAAGAATTATGCTTGGCAAGTGTGCAAGTTGCCAACGAGAAAGGAGTTCGAATGCACTTGAAAAAAATATTTAAGGAAGGTTTAAAATATTATGCAATATTTTTATATTTTTATTATAACTATAAATCACATGCAGCCTTCGTAAAATATTTCTTAAAAATATATTTAAGGTCTAAAGAAACCTCCCAGTGTTCTGCAGTGTTTCTCCCGCATTCCTGCATCGAGAGGCGGAAAGATCGAGCCGGAGACGCTTCCAACTGCCTTCCGGAGGAGTCGAATGCAGCCTGGCAAACAAAAAAAAAGAAGCAAAGAGCAAACCCCACAGACACAGCACACATTTACATGGTGAATAGCGACCGGCATTTATGTAAATTAAAAATTATTTCGGCTGTAAAAATTCAGTGGGAATTGTTTTTGGCAATGTCCTTGGCAAAAAAAAAAAAAAAAAAAAAGAACCACTAACAAGAGTTTCTATAAAGAGAAAAGAAACAGACAAGTCAGAGATACTCTTTTTTACAAATTAAAATTAAATAAATGGAAATAAATAAGTATTTAGCTAAAGGAAGGTTAATTTAAACTAATTTTAAATATTTTCTGATTGGCTATAAATCTCAAATATTATTATAAATACATTTGAAATATTATACAAATATTATCATAATTATATTACCCTCTGAAAGTGAATTTAGATAAAAACAAACGATAGCAGCTACGAAAATAATAACAGTCATGACAATGGCCCTGGCAATTTGGTAAAAACATTTGCTTTTGTTTTTTAACTGCATTGGCTGTTAAGCAGATATAGAAAGGGGATATAGGGGTATAGTTATTGTTATTATTTCGCGGGAAAATAGTGACAGAATAGCAGACAGGCAATGCGACCGGAGATGGGCAAGAATGAGCATTCACAGCAGGAAGTTAAGCTTTATAATCTAGATTATATGTATATTTAAAGGTATTATTTTAAGCAAGGAATTTTAAAATATGACTAGTTTGTGCTAAGTATATTATTTCTTAAAAAATAACGGAATACTTTATGATTTTTTTTAGACAAGAATAAAAATTCGCTGCCAGAATGTTTTCAAGAAATTTGCTTTTAAATTTCCTCCCTTTTTTGCTAGTATTTGAATTGCTTTAAAAATGTCTGTATATTTTCTATAATTTCAACACATATTTAATAATTTTTAAGGCCATTAAAAAACTTTAGTAAACAGAAACCCAGGGTTATGCCATAACAGTAAAGGGACTCTTCAGACCTCAGCAAAGTTATCCGCCAATGAAAATTCTTTTCCAGCTCCGCCTTAGCTTCAACAATTTTTGAAAATTATTCAATCCAATTTTCAAACCTCCCCCTTTGGTTTTCCGCCTCCTCTCTCTCTCTGTGTGTGTATGTTTGCCACTGCATTGGTGCATAGATTATGCAGTTGGCTTCAGTTTATGATTGGCAAATCCAATATACGCTGTGCACTTGGCAGCAGATTGGCAGCCCCGCGTCCGCACCGCCGCCTGGCTGCCACTTTATGCCACTTGCACGCATATTTCGCCGGGCTCACACTCACACTCACACATATACACTAGCACACATGCAGACACAAGATGGCGGCGCGCCCATTTCCGGCTGATGGGGCAATAGCGTGATTATCGGCAGACGAGACGGGGCAGCCAGGGCAACCGCAGCGACAAAAAATGATTGTGCAAAGAGTCAATCAGAGGGTGAGATCGAATGTTAAATACCCTGGAGGGAAATATATATGAAATTATTATTTATTATAGAAGAAAGAGTGTTTTTTTAAGATACTTAAAAAGAAAATATTATAGGAAATATTAAGAAAATATATAGAAGAATTTTATTATTAACAATCATTTAAATTTAATTTTAAAATAATATTTATAATTTATTTCTTAGTATTTTGCGTTATGATTATTTGTTAAGTAAAAGTTAAATTTTATTTCTTTGTACAGGGTGTTTCTGCAAAAGGACCACACACTTCGTAGTTGGCCAAAAGCTGCTGCCACAGCAGTAAGCTGCAAAATAAGCCAAAAATATGCGTTATCAAGCTGGGCCAATAAAAAAAATACACATACCCGTGCTTTTTACCCAAGCAAACAGAGCATACAGTGGCCACAAGGGAGTTTTATAGTAAAAAAATATATATAGAATATAAAGTGTTGCAATTTCAGTTGTAAATTTATATTTATTTTTAGAAATGTAGTTTTTTAAATTATATTTATATTTAAAAATTGAAATATACAACAGTAAATTTTGTTGAAGAATAATAGATTACATTTTCTATTACTATTTTATTTTTAAAGTTTAAATTTATATTTTTTACAGGTTTTAAATTAAACGAGTTCTTCAAAAATAATTGTTAAAAATACAAATACAGTACTAATTTTATTCAATAATATTTCTTGAGAAAGCATAGATATACTAGACGACATTATTAATGTTTTTTGTTTGCCAAAAATTTCAACAAAACTCTCAAAAAATATCTTTAAAATACCTTATAAATTCCTTACAAATTCTTTAAAATTTCCATAAAATTCCTAAAAAATTCCAAAGAAATTCCTACTTAGTTCTCTTAAAATTCCTTCAAAATTCCCACAAATTTCCTTACTTTTAGCACCCACTGTGCCTGTGACGTGCATAAGTGTACCCACTTGCATTTGAATCGCTACTGACGCTGGTCGCCGTCGCAATTTTGCATTACTTTGCATAACCGGCAAAGGGCCGCCCGCTGTGGAGCCCCCAATCTCCGGCCTTATACGAACGTCTGGCACTGTAGCTAGAAAATGGCGCCTTTATTTAACCATAAACTGTGCTTTCATGGTCATTATGGAGGCTTCTCTTGCTGAATTCCAAACATTATTCTTATTTATCGGTGGCACAGCAGCACATGAGTGCTGCTCGCAGGGAGAAGGGGGGATGATTAACCTTTTTCATAAATAAAGGAAAATTCTTAAAGACTTTACCCGATTTTTCGGCTTTAAATGAAACAAAATAAAAGCCAAGTAAATGGTATGAAAACATAATCTGTGTACTTTCGCTCATCCATCATTGTTTAGAATCCCAACAGAGTTACCCCCTTTTCATTGTCTTGGTTAACTTTTCTTTTTCCTGGTTTTCTTTTTTCTTTGAGTTGATAGGAAAGGCAACCTTTTCGTTCAGATTTAATAAGGTTTCGGAATCAATCAACGAATTCGTGGGAGATCCTTTCGCATGTTTCTCTGATTATTACGCTCATTACATAAAAAAACATTTCACTTTACTTCAGTTCACATTGCTTTGTGCAGGAATTTGTTATTATTTTCGTGCTTGGCTGGTTTTTCACAGTTCGTCGACTGAAATGAACTTGAGTACGGCGACGAACGGGGTTGGAGTACACAGGGGGCAGGCACACACGTGGGGTAAAAGTCATTGGTTATCCCTTTACCCGCAGTTCTTCACAAAATTTTATTTTGCTCCTTTTAATACCCTGTAATTGGGGGTTGAAGGGGGTATATTGGTTTATTCAGTGGGTAAAATTTTTAAGGAGTTTTTAAGGAGTTTTTTATGAGGATTTACTGAAGTTTGAGTTCAGTTTTGGAAAGTATTTGGTTTGAAACTCCTTTTTAAAGGTTGTTTTATTTTATATTCAACAAAGTTAGCTTTAAAATATATTAAATTTATTATATTTAATTTCAGAAATAATAAATTTAAATAGATAAAAGTGTTTTAAAGACTTTACAAACCCCAGAATATTTCTTTTGTACAAATTCAGACAGCTGAAAAGTATGCAACATTTTTAGGGTATTCCCTGTTCCATTTCTATATTTTCTCTTTTTATTTATTTATTTTTTTGTTGTTTTTGCTCCTGTTTTTTTATCATTCCCGTTCAATCCGCTTGAGTTTCGGTCCGCTGAAAATCTTTTCAAGTCGCTGGGGGCCAAACGCGCGAAATTCATTTGTTAACCCGGAAGGGATAGGATGACGTCGACTGTCGCCGATGTCGTTGTCGTTGCCTAATCCACTGCAGGCGCGACCCGAGACCCGAGAACCGAGGCAAAAGCTAACGGGAATTGGTAGCAAGGATATAGAATCCAGGATCCGGGACCCGGGACCCAGGACCTGACAGTGTTTGCTTTCGCGAGAAATGATTGATGAAGGTATCGCCGAAGAGTTGAGAGCAAAAGAAGTAGTAGGAAAAAAAATCAAAACAAAAAGGCTGAAGGCTGGGGCCGAGTGTCCTGAAAGGAAAGCCATTTAAATGCAGTAAAGTAAAGCTTTAATATGTGTTTGCCTCTTACAGGGATATTAATGGTGTAAATATACTTAAGAGAAGTTTTAAATAAAGCCCAATTTCTTAACTTGTTTAGTAAAAATAAATACATTTTGAATTATAAAGTTTTATTTGTATATAAATATATTTCTCTCTGCCTTAAAATGCCTCAAAATAATTTTTAAACATTTTTTAAAAAGGAGTTAGAAGTCTGCTGCTGGCAGGTCTCAGATACCGGGTTGGTTACAAAGTCCTGGAACGCTTACAGCTTCAAGTGTCGATCAGAAATTCACTTTGTCCGCTGCCTGGAACTTAATTTCCTTCATGGGTTTTATGTCCCTGGACCTTTTAACGACCCCATAAAGTGATGCGTTTGCCCATCGTGCACAGCCTCCTCCTACTCTTACTCCTCCTCCATCAATCCTGTCGTCGGCTCACCTGCCGTCGGTTTGGTGTCCACTAACTGCTCTCGTTGTAGTGGGCTTTATTTGGTGTTTTTATGGCTAGTTACTCTCGTTTGATGGTATTAACATAATTTATGTATGAACACGAAACTACTAAGCGCACTAACAAAAGCAACTATCTGGCACTCTGCGGGTGAAGGTAACCGAAGGGAAAGGATCAGAGATGGCAGGGATAAAGGTACTGATTAGGTATCCAGTAGGAACTAGTAGGGATTAAATATAAAGTATATATTTCTGGTTTAATTCAACTTGGGAAATTTAATAAAAATTAGTTTAATAATACATAAAATATTTACTTTCTTGTAAACCTTTATTTAATACTTTCTTTAGGTATATTTAGTTACCTAAAATAATTTGTATTTATTTATAAGCTATGCTTGTACCTTAAGGTACCATCTCTAGTAAGGATGCTGGCACCCTGGACTCAAGGTAATAAAGCAATCGTCTCTTGGTTAATTGCTGCCTCTCGAGGGAAACATTGTCCTAAGATGAGAGGAGAGCTGTCAAGGAGGATATTGGATGGGATAGATAGGTTGATGATTTTTCATTTGACTTTTATTTGATTTTAATATAAGCAAGGGAAGGGGTTATTCAGAAATCAGAGATGGGTATTAAAATGAAAACTTTGCGAAAAAACGTAAAATCTTTAATTTAAAATATCTATTAATTATAAAATAAAATATTTATATGCAATTAACATAGTTTTTTTCTATACATATATGTATTCATAGATATATACTCTTGGACACCGGCTGATCCCTTATCCTGGAGCTTTGACTATAACTTTTTGTTGTCATTTTATATCCTGGCAGGGTATTATATATTTTTTTCAGTGAAAAAGTCGTTTCCGACCCCATAAACCATATATATTCTTGATCAGCATCAACAGGGGAATCTTTCTGGCCATGTCAGAAAAAAAAAATTTGTTGAGCCAAAAATTCAAAATTTGATAAGGGGTTACATCATTAAAATTTTCAAAAATTGGCCAAAATTTAAATTTTTTAAAATTAAGAGTTAAGAATGCAGATTTGTTAACCTAATAAAAACCAACATAAAAATGCTTTTTTTATTGAAATTAATGAGTTTTTGGCTTAGTTATTATATTTTAAAGATTTAAATTTCCCAAAAATTAACATATAAATTTATATAAATTAAATTCAGTATGCAGATTTGTTAACCTTATAAAAACAAACTCAGACTAGCTTTCCGAATATAAAATAAGGCACGATTGGGCAAGTTATGATTTATTTCAAATAAGATTTTTTGCAGAGGAAAACTGGAAAGGTATGCAAACTTCGGCTTTTTGAAGATAACTTTCTTTCTTGTATTCTCTTTTTATCAATTTCCTCAACCTTTTACCCTTTAAATTTTAGCTTCCACGCACGACTTTGTATAAAGCGTCGTGTCATAATCGTAAACAAGTCCCGGAGACCGCGACATTTTATCACTAGAACCGTGTGTGTTTGTGTATTCGCAGAGTGGTTAATGGCCATGGACCACTCCGGGCATAAATTAAGGGACCGTTAAGCGTGAGCCAGAGCCAATTACCAAAGTATCCTTTGGTCATTAAACTTAGGGATGTATTATTGCGGGGGCTAGCCCTTAAGCATGGCTAAATAGCTTCGTCTGCAGATGATTTAAGACAAAATCCTGTTTAAAATACTTTTAATTTTTACAGACTTTTTTCTCTCAATTTCAATAAAAGTTATTCGTTAATTTAGGTTACCTAAAGTTATCTTATGACGACAGGTTTCTGGATATGTTCTCCATGTTGCAGGATCTGAAGTCGCAAGCCCTTGCAACCCATTACCTCGGTATTCTCTATGGCCTTCTCCAGGATCACCGACTCCTTCTCCTTGCTGAGTTGCCGCTGCTCCACTCGAAGCTCATTGGCCAGGCAATCCCTGAGATCATCCCTGCCAAAGAACCGAAAATTCACAATGGTCGTATCCCTGGCCAGTTGCTGCAGCAGCTCAAACTGCTCCCAGTACATATCCGCTTCCAGAGTGAAAACGTAGATAACCAGGACCCTTTGATTGCGATCCAGCTCGCCCTCACGCTCACGGATCAAACGGTTGTAGATGGGCACCAGGCCATGGTCACAGGTGGCCAGGTTGTCTATGATCAGCAGATTCGAGCCGCAGTTGGACAGCCCATCGGCAAACTGCCTGACCAGACGGAACTTCATCACCTCGTCGGAGACGACAGTGTTCCAGGAGTACGAGTGGGCATTGGCGGGCCAGGGAAAATTCTGTTTGAGAGCATTAACCGTCAGGGTTTTCCCCACGCCTGGAGGTCCCATTAAAACCACCGAGTGAAAACGCCCATTGCCTGTGAGAGCTCTTTCCATGCGACCCAGAGCCAGCTCCTGGTTGAGAACCTGCTTGCCCATGAGACGGAAAATGTGAGGCAAGTCAAGAGTTTGTTGGCTGCAGGAATCACTCTCGGGAATGTCCTGGATATGTTAACAATTTTAAGGCTACATTTATGCTATTTAAAATGTAAATTACTTACTTTTTCTTTTCCTTGGGAGATGCTCTCCCCCTCGAGACCCACCCATCGCAGGGCGGTGTTCCACAGACTGGAACTTTCCTTAACATCCATCGGATCGCTGGCCATCTCTATGCCCAGAAAGATCAGGAGGAGCAGCACCACCAGCACAGCTGCAAAGGTGGAGAATCCTTGAAGGAGGTGGGAGTGACGACTGGAGCGAAGACGGTCGCGATGTCGCCGACAGCTGGTGGTGTGTAGGACGCCACGCTGGCGGGGATCCTCCTCTTCATCGTTTACATGGAAGTCACCGGCTTGGAGGTGATGGAGGTTGCGGCAGGGAAAGTCCCGGCGCCGATAGAGCTGGATAATGGGTGGCATGACTGAAAGGGGTTTTATTTGTGTAAAAGAAAGGTCCTTAAATTTAAAAAAAAAATATATACTGTATAGTATATATGTTGTGTAATTTATTAGAATTTATTTGGTATTGTTTAGGGTGTGACTATATAAAAAAACAAAAGCTATATTGATAGAAGTTTTAGGTAAGCTTACAGATTTTGTATTTTTAAAGTCTTGTATTTAGTTTATAATATTAAAATTATGAATACTTCAATTTAAGCTTAATCTTCTTTATTTAAACTAATCTAAAGAGCCTAAAAAATACATAGAATTTCCCATAGACTTGCAGACTAGAAAAACAATCCAAACTAAAGACTTAAAAATTGCAAGCGAAGAGTCGAAAACCGGCCAAACTGGTTGCCGGAGGTTGTTTTGATTTTTTTCTTTCAAATGTTTAATGTTTTTTTGTTGTTGTTTTTTGTTGTTTTTTTCGCTGAGCCCACTACCGGAGTTACTCACTCTTAGAGAACCCCGAGAACTCCGCTGAAAACCTCCCTTTTAACCACTCCCCATATATTTTTTTTTAAGCGCCCGTCCGTTGCGTTGTTTACGTTTAGCGCTGATTTCTTCATTCCACGCCAGTTTGTTTTGATTTTCAAAAAAGGGTCAGCTAGAAAAACTGGATGCCACTTGGCCATTGTTTCCCCTCAACGAGCCTCACCTCCAGGTCTTTATGTGTGTTTTTTTTTTGGGTTTAAAGACTTCAAGTGGGACAAAGGGAAGAGGCTTTGTATGATGATTTTTCTAGCTTTAGACAACATAATTTCTAAAAAGAAATATATATTAAATATTTAAATATTAAAAAAACGTTTTTATATAATTTATTTTAATAAGAGTACCAAGAAAACCGCACAGCTACTTCATGGTACTCTTATTACCATTACTAATCCCATTTACCTCCGCAACGAATCAATAATTTCCCCATTTTCCCTAGATTATGGTTGAGTCTGGCCCACCAAGGGCTGTTCGCAGTATCCCCCCGGAAATGGAGCAACGCAGCTGGACTGGAAATCCGCACAGAGCTGGATTCCTGCTGCACCTGTCCGCCGCCTTGCACCTGGGCTTTGCCATCTACTACGACTGCCGCTATGCCCAGCTGCCGTCCTTGGCTGTGGAGCTTCGTTTGGAGCCACCCATTGGGGGCAAGTTCAAGTACATGACCTTCCTCTCCGGACTCGTGCACTGTGGCTACTATATCCTGGCTCTAAGCTATGACCTTCTAAGGATCCGTGTGCTGCGTCAACTGCGGGACTATGTAATGGCCAGCTTTGTGGTACCACTGGCCCTCACGGTGGGTGTGACCTTTTGGACCCTCTATGCCATCGATAGGGATTCTATTTATCCGCCCATCCTGGACCTCATTTACCCCATGTGGCTGAATCACACAATGCACTCGTGTGTGGTGGTCTACGCCTTGCTGGAGCTGGGCCTCACCCGCCACCGGTATCCCTTGAGGAGAAAGGCCTTTGCAGGGCTTGGAGCCTTCATGGCCGCCTACTTGGTGTGGATCCACTTCCTGTGGGCCATGACTGGAATCTGGGTGTATCCCTTCTTGGGGGCCCTGGCGGGTTCCTTGCGGTTCCTTTTCTTTGTGGCGATCGTTGGCTTTGGATTCGGATACTATCTGATGGGGGAATGGATTAACAAAGTGATTTGGGGGCGACCAAGTGGGGATAGAGGAAGGAGTTTTAGAGGGTAAACCCCGATGGAAGTTGGAAACTAGGCTTAAGATATTTCAAAATTTATAATAACCTTTACTTGTAAAAATGTAATTTATTAATATGATATACAAAATAAATATGATATAATATATAAAACAACTCAAAAGTTCGTTTAAATTTTACTTTCTTGTAAGTAAAATGAGGCTTTTTATAATTTTGTAACTAAATTTAGTTACTTATGGAGGTAAGTAGCTACATTTAATGTCAAAACTACATACATATAGCTTGAAAATTAAAATTAACACCGATTGTTTGTATAGAAAACTATATTTAGTCCAAGTAAAGTTCAAGCTTGACTAATTCTAGATGCCAGGTCTACAGGCCCAAAACCCAAAAGCGGTTAAAGGGATAGAAAAGCAATGCGAAAAACTTAAAGTAAATAGAATAGAAGTTTGCTTAGTATTTTATATAAAACCTAAATAGAAACCCTAATGCTAAAATAAAATTTAAACAAGAAAACCAAACAAACCGAAGGCGACCTTGTGCCCAGCTGATCTTTCTAGCCAAAAATCCAACACCAGATGTTATGGCCAAATAATGACTAAGGGGTGAGGGGTCACATAAAACACCGTATCGTAATTATTTGTTTGTTTTCCTTTGGCGGTGCAGTGCAGATCTCGAAGATAGGTATCAAAGCCATATGGTGTGGTCAATGAAAGAGGGTCGAAAAATGATATTAGATTACTTTCAGCGGAATTGTTTGATTTTTAGTTTGAAATAAATTAAGTAAGGGAGAAACCATTAGTAATTCATAGAGAATTTTACAAAAAATGAATTACTATAAATAAATATTAATGTTAAAAGAATTAGAATACATTTAAAATTTATTATGGTTAAAACCCTTGCAAAAGGTTGCCTTCTTTATTGAAATCAATAAACTAAACTATTAAGGCTTTAACAATTATTTTTATGGTTAATTATTTTGTTCACCTATAAGTTTATAAATTAATTGCAAAAAATAGTTAGAGCTTTAAGCATTGAGTTGATTTTTAACCAGAGAAAGTCTCGTGAGCACTTTAAGAGAACTAAGCTACGGCTTAAATGAACCAAAGAGCTCAAGAGAGCAGCGGCTTTCAGGGGTTTGTTTTGCATTGCCACTCTCTTTGAGTTCACTTGTTTTGAGTTTTTTTGAGCCAAGTTTAAGCCAAGTTAATTGGAGTATTTAGCTTTAACTAATAAAAATTAACCAAAAATTAATAAAAAAATATAAAACTTTTTTTTAAGGAGTTTCCAGGCCAATTAAAGTATCTTAAAATATAAGAAACCAAAGTATAAAGCAACACCTTTGCTTTTTCATTTCACAGGCCTGTCTTTACTGTTTTTCCTTACCTTAACTTTTACCCCCCTTTGTCTTGTTCTTGGTGCCCAAGAATTTTCTCTAATGACTTAAACGCGGTAACCACTAAAAACATTTACGGCTTGTATGGATGGCCCCCGCCCCGCCCTGTTGTTGTTCACTGGCAACCACATCCAACAAATTTAAGGTAAAAGCTACAATCTCTCCTTTATTTTCCACACCTCCAAAAGCCTTTTGAAAGTAGTCACATTTTTGCGCAAAATTTTCCCCTAAAACCGCAAGTAGAAAAGTCATTAGACGCCAAGAATTTTAGCGGCATGGAGAAGCTGTGAAATGAAAGGATTGAGTTTATGGTTTGGTTTAACTTGAAGTTTAATTTATTTTTCAAGTGTTTATGTTGGAGGTATAAATTTAAGAGCGATAAATATATAATTTGTTAATAGGTATGGTTTTTATAAATTTTTTATATGTTTATTTTAGAAAGCAGGAATTTGGTTTAGGTTAAACTTTTCTATTCCAAATGTGTTTAAAATTAGAACGTCGCTACAAAGCTCCCTGCGGGAAAATATATAAAATAAATGTATGAAATATTTTCTTATTAAAAAAAGGGGGTTAATATATATATTCTTAATATATAATAAGTAATATATTATATATATTTTTTCAAGACAAAAGTTAACTTACTTTTTATGGAATTTGTTATCACGTCAAGTCATCACGTAGTTTACATTGTTTGGCTGGATTTTCTTAGAAAAAAAAATTATAATAAAATATAAAAAAATAAATTGTAATCATAAAAATCATAATAGTACAATTTAAGAATAATAAAATACAATATTAATAACAAAAAACTAAAGTTTAAACATATTTTCTTACTAATTTGTGGTATTTTAGTCTCTATCCCTCCTGCATATATTAAAATCCCCCAAATTTTAAGCACAAATAAGACTTGTATTCTGCTGCTAATATTAAACAAAAGGATTAACAAATTCCCTAAAAAATCAATTTACTTTCAAGTTCCAAAAAACAATGGCTGCTGTTCATGTTATTTGAACTGCTTGTGTATTTTGCAAATTCGATTCCCCCGAGTTGAGACAGCACGCGGTAGGTAATATTTATATTGCGTGAACCACTGTATTTGCTTTTCACAGAGAGTGTGTGTGGGTGTGTGGTTGTGTGGTTGTGTGGTGTGTGTGTTCCCAGGACAGGATTTTGATGGACAGGATGGTCCTCGGTTTGGGGGTTTTGGGGGTTTGCGGGGGACTTCAGGGATAGAGACACGTGCGTTGCCAAATATATCCGCTGTAAGCCCCTTTGTTTGTCCTTGTTTCTTTATTTTTCATACGAATCGGACTTATCCCTTTTCGTTTTTTTTTTAGCATATTTATTTGAAATTCGATTTTATCCCCGATTTCGACAGTTGCTCACTGGCTGTGTCGCCTAATTCCGCAGTCAGGACATCACACGCACATGCAAATTCGAGAATAACCAAATTGAGGCAGGCAAATCCTGGGATTTTTGTTATCCTAGTTACAAAAATTAAAGTCCTATTTGTTGATATGTGTTTAAGGGGGTTTTTTGACTTTATCTTAAATTTCTTAATAAATTATATATCTTTTTTTTCCAGCTAAAGCTACCTTTCAAGGACCTTTCCTTTAGCTTCAAGGACCTGGCCAATTGCCGGCTGCAGGATGCAGCACGCAAAGGTCAGCCCAAGGACAAACACCCAACGAGGTGCACCAAAATCCAGCTTCCCTATTAAAATCGATATTTAGTGCCACAAGCAGTGATGCCCAAGGCGAGGGGAGAAAAGGATATAAACAAAAAGGATATGCAGCTAGTCTGTAGTAAAAATTAATTTTAAAATATATTAAATACATTTTTTTAAGGATTTTAAAATTTTGTGCATTGAAAACTCTGCATTTCAAGTGTTTTTAGTAATTTAATATAATTTTGAAATATATTTCTATAATATTTTTAGCACCCCTAGAAGTCCTTTTAAGTCTCCTTTGCACTTCATAAACTTTTAGCCACATCCTCAAGATCTCCTAGCTTTTTTTAGCCACCAACTTTGGCCAACACTATGCCGATTCTGGCGAATCTGGCGAATGGGGCGTGGCAAGAGTATTTGCATTAAATTATGCGACGAGCTGCGGAAATGTTTGGCATCAAATGAAGAAGGGGCTAGCCGGGGGTTACAACGCAGACAAAAAAAAATATGTAAAAAAAAAAAAATGTAGGAAAACCCTGGAACAAGGCAGTACTGCGCACCGTTAAGTGCGGCGGAAGCAATTTTACTCTTCAGCTCTGGGAAAACCAAAGAAGGAAATATAAGGAAAGCAGCCACAACATCGCATAAACAACAGCAGTAAAATAAGAAGAAGGAAAATTTAATAGAAATCCTTGAAACATCTGTGAACCGCTCACTTAGCCCCCCGTAAAAAAAATATGTAAAAAACAAAACACACACGAAATATATATATATATATTTATATATCACTCTTGTATTTGAATACACACACACACAGGTAAGTGTGTGTTGGCTCGCATTTGTAATTGTTTCCTTTGCTGCTTTGAGCTTTTCATGTATGGCACACACTGTGTCACCGCCTAATCCTCCAACTCATCTACCTTACACTGGGAGAAATAAGTAAACTAACATTGAAGAAATAATTTAAATATTATAAGAAAATTATTAGGAAGAGTTAGGTGGAGGATTTTAAAAAAGAAAAAGCTTTTAACTACAGAATATATTTTCTTCTCTTTTAGAATTTATATTAAAATATATTTGAAACAAAAATAATAAATATTAAAAAAAAGGAATATATTTAAAAATATGAAAAATATTAAAAAATAGCTAAAATATAATTAAAATTATTTGGAAGAGTTATTTTTAAAAAATATAATAAGGAAGAGCAACTACAGAATATGTTTGCTTAATCTAGAAAAAATTTCTATATTTTTTAATAATATATAACATATTCCAAAAAAATGTATAATTTTTTTTTCCATAATAATATTATATCTAGAAATATTTTCCTTATTTTTTAATAATGTATGTATATTCTAAAATTTTATAACCAACATTATTTAATATATATTTTTCCAAGTGCTGCATTTAGCCAAGTCCGTCGTCTCCCACTGCATTTTAATCGTCGTCATTATGGCCATAGGGCTGGGTGTAATTTTCACATTCATTTCGTTTCACTCACTGTTTTTTACCAGCATTCATTTCAAAGTACTTAAAAAAGGGGGAAAAATATTTGAGAACTTAATGCTAGACAGCAAAGGTAAAAGGAACACTAGATCAAAAATGCTACACGAAACCTTGACTAAGACTACAGGATCAATGTTTTATGTATAATTTAAAATTCGAAATATAAAAAAAATTTATATATATTAATAGTTCAAAAAATTGAAATTAAAATTGTATAAAATCAATAATTTCAATAAAGTTAATATTTTAAGAAACCAAAAAGTATAAATTACAAAAATTCCTAATCCTTATAAAACAATAATTAATAATAAGGTATTATAATTTTAGTCAGAAGCTTTTTTTTCAGTGAAGGAGTCATTTCCGACCCTATAAATCATATATATTCTTGATCAGCATCGACAGGCGAGTCTTTCTAGCTTTGTTTGCTTAAAAAAAAAATTTTGATAATTTTTTCAAAAAAAATCAAAGGGGTTACATCATTAAAATTTTCAAAATTTCACAAAAAATTAAATTTTTTACAATTTAATATTTAGTATGCAGATTTGTTAACCTACAAAAACCTAGCACAGAAATGCAATCCGAATTGAAATTAATGTATTTTTTACTAAGTTATAATATTTTTAGACTTTAAATTTCTTTAAAAAAGAGCCTTAAAAAAATATATTTTTAAAGCCCTATAATTCGCATATTTTAGGTCTTCTCGAAGGGGAAGATATATCTTTGGCTTTTCAAAACTTAGTTTATATTCTTGTTTAATATAAAATAAATATATTATTTAAAAAAATTTTTAATTAAATACTTTTAATAGCAGCAAGTTCCCAAATTCCATAGTTTTTTCTAATTTTCTTAAAATCTTTAAAAATATTAAGAAACCCCCAAATCTTCCCTTCCTTTTCAAACCTTCAAGGAACCCCCGACTTCAAAATAATTATGTCCATTTGTATGACCAAGCTGTTCGTCATCTCCGGCAGCCATTACACCCTTTTCAGTATCCCAAGGCGAAATGTACTCCACAGATGACCTACAGCATCCCACTATCCCTATTCCGCCTTCCTCCTGCTCCCTCCTCGCATTAAAACAAATCGACACTTTTCTCCGAGAGTAAACTTTATGGGGTCATCGGTGTAGAGATATTGTACCCAAGTTCCATCTTGGACTTTTTTGTGCTTATTAACATAATGACCAAGGAGATGGAACGGACATAAGGCCAAAATGGGCATTACAGGGGCAGCCGAGCAAGAACTAGGAGAAGTTGTCAAATAAACCAGAGCAGAGCCAGAGCTGTGCGGCCAATATTTCTACTCATTATGCTAATAAGTTCGCACAAGACTGACGCTTGGGTGAAGCGAAATGGTTCAGTGGATAAAATTTCAAGGAATTTTGTAAGGAAATAAATTTTAAATCAAGTTGAAAGTATTCTATATACAAGTTTGAGACAAGAGAAGCTATTTAAAGTTTAAAGAAGAAACCAGTAGATAAATAGGTTATTAAAAAATATTAAATATTGAATGATATAATTATTTAAAATATTTTAAAATCGTTAAAAACCATTATGTTTCAGGCTTTATGAGTATATGTTAAAAAATAACTAATTACTTTAAATTTAAACGATATTTTACATATATATATTTTTATTTAAAGCTATGGCAGGTGGAGTATTAAATAATAATCGGTTTTCTTACAAAATAAAAGCTGATTTTTTTAAATATATAATTTTTCTGTATTTTAGAAATCATTAAAAAATCTAAACAAAAATTCTAAAATCATAAAGAATGAGAATATATTTATTTTTATATTTTAAATATTTCTATATTTATATATATATTTCTTATAATGTTATCTTTCAGTTGTTTTTATTAAAATATTAAAAACTTGTTTAAAAAAAGGATCTATATTTATTTATGGTATAACTATAAAATAATATTTTTATTTGTATATTCTTTACTTTAAAAAACACATTTGTTTATAAGAATATATTTTTATAAATTTATATTATAAATATACCCTTTCCCTTGAATTAACGACTATTATCTGTAATAAAGCTGCCTTTTGTATTTAATTTCTTAATTTTTTTAATGTCTACCCCATTAAATTACAACCTTTAGCATTATTAATATCACTCGTTATTTTTTTTTTTTGTTTTGTATTCCCAGCCATGCTCTATTATTATTATTAATTAATTTTAATAAGCTCGTGGTCAATTCATGTGCATGAAATTGCATTGAACAATCTCGTCACTCGGACAGGGAGAAGCCACGCGATGATCCAGAAGTCACGTAGCCCAAGACACGTTGCCCCGAAAGGCGGGATCTTTAGAAGTCGTCACCATTGAGCCGTGACGTAGAACGATAACCTAAAGGACAGACACGTATGTATATAGTGCTTAAAAAAAACTCTGCGGTTACGTCAAAGAAGATACTTTTGTGTGTCATTATTAAAAGCCAGGTAAATTTGAGAATAATTATCCAGACATTGACGTGGGCGCCCTTTGTTCCGGTCTAAAATCATGCATTATTAATCAGTTTTAAAGTGTATAATATATTACAAATTCTTACACAAATTAAATATTTAAAGTAAAGATTTCGTAATCTATTTTCTGTATTCTCCGAGACATTTCTTTCCCTAAAAAAATCAAAGAAAACATATAAGTAAGTATGACAAAAATTATAGTCCCGTCCCTAGACAATCGGTCTCCAATTTAAAATCGCCATCGGCTCTCTGGTGACTAACAGTACTTTTTCTGGTCTGGTCTGGTCTGGCCGCTGTTAGGGGCCCCAATGATAATTATCCGACGAACCTTCAACTCGCGTGCTTGTTGCCGGGCGACCGACAATCGGCCAAAACCGGTCGATGACTAATCACAATCAGGCGATGTTGTGAAAAGTGCCGCGATCTCGATTGCAATTGTATGGATCTTGATCGGATCGGTCTCTCGGTAACAGTTAATCACTAGCTGAAACCGAACAGGGAATGCTCTAGAGAAGTACAGAAAATATATTTATAAAATGATATTTTAATGTTTTCTTTGACGAAAATTATATAATTATTATATATATTAATTTAAAAATAAATATTACAGTTTACAGAAAATAATATTTAGATATAGATACCAAATAGTTAAATATTTTAACAATTTAAAGTTCAAGCGAAAACTTGATGGACTTTTCATTAGAATGTCTTTCAGAGAACCGCTTATAAAAGGAACTATTTATTTATTATTTATATATAATATAAATATCTAAATTTCTCCTATATTTCAGTAGAGTATCCATAGATCTATAAATATTTTTGCTCTGAACCTTTAATAGCATGTATTAATTCGCAATTTCGCCTCGACATGGGCGTCTCTCTCTATATTTTCAAGAGGAAACAGAGTGTAACTTTTCCACCTTTTCTTAGCTGTAAAATATAGTAAGCTTACACCATTCTTTTCATGATTTTTAGATTTTAAAGCAAAGATCTAGTTGTAATTTAAATTGAATTTAAAATCTTAATAGCTACGCCAGTGTATGACCGTCCAACCGCAGCGGGAATAGAAATCTCACGCTGCCGTCAGCTTGTCTGGCGCGATTTCAGTTCAGCCTTTGTTGTTGTCTTTTTTTTTATTTTTTGTATTTTTTATTTCTTGTTGTTGCTTAGTTTTATTTGCAGTTAGCCGTTGCCGTGTAATTGCAGGCAAAAAGGTGGCACAAATGTCGTTTTTCCCTCTCCCTCAGATTTGAAAAACCCCTTTTATGAGGGCCCTAGAGATGGTCATGTTTTGAATTGGGAAGATATGATTTTTATACATTTTTAAATATTAAAATAAAATAAGAAACTAAATTTAAAAAATATAAAAATATAAAAACAGATCAGGCAACATTAAAACATAAGAATATAGCTTATGTACCCATAAAATAGTTAAGAAATTCTACCAAAATTAGCTCAGTTTTCAATAAATAAAAATATATTTTAATAACTTCTAGCTGTAGGAATATAATTTAAGTTCTTAGAAAATTAGGAACAGCTTCTTTTGAGGCTGTTAGTTGATATTTTTCATCATTAAAAACATCTAAAAAATGGTTTTAATATTTAAAAAATTATTTAATTGAGATTTTGGTATGTAAGCATTGTTTTTATACGACTTTTAACACAATTGATCAATGTTTGTAATATTTCTCTAATGTTTTTAATTATGTATTCATTTTATATATTTTTTTTAGTTTTAAGGAATTTTACAGTCTTGCTTAAATTATTTAAACTGTTTAAACAATAACTCAAACTATCAAAAACCCTTTTATTTGCATTATTCATTTAGATAAACCTTGACTTTAGTGACATCTCTAGCTTTTGCTTTTCTGCACCTGCATGTTGCTTGTTGTTGTGGCCATTTTCGTAGAGGCTTACGTAAGCTCGCCAAGGCGGCAAAATGAAATGAAATTGTTGTAATGGGCGATTCTCATTGCGGCACGCTACCCAGCAATTTTCAAGCAAAAGCCCGCTCCTATGTACTATGAACAATAAATAACCAATTCCGCATTCAGTGAGATGTGAAAATTAACATTATAACAAGCTGTTAGCCTAGCCTAGCCTATTTTTGATCTTAACAGGGTTTCTTTTTTAAGATAAACTTTATAAAATGTTATAGTTAATATAAATTATTATTGGTAAAATATAACAAAGCCACTTTTTCTATGGGATATTTCCTTAAATTAATATTTAGCTACATTTTGTTGTGGTGGAAAATCAAAATTGAATAAGTTTAAAACTGAGAAAAGCTTTTCTGAAACAGTTTCTTAAGGTTTAACAATTTATTTTTATTTTTAACAGAATTTTTTTGTTAATTGAAAATTTTTAAAATTTCAAAACTAAATTAAAAAAGGTTACACAATTTATTGATATTTTTTAATACATTTTATGATACATAAGTTTAATTAAAAGAACTTTTATTAAAAGTTTTATATTTATTATATTTATTTTTGTTAATTCTAATATAACTCTTATATTATATTATTTAATATTTAAAGACTTAAAAAAACTTCAATATATTTATATTATAAATTTTATTTTAAAACATTTTTAATCAATTTTCTACACGAAGTAATTGTTTAGCTTCAGCCGTCAAAAAATCTCGGCAAAGGCAAACCATTCAACATTTCAGCATTCAGTTATTTCAAGCCAAATAAATTCTGCTACTCAAATCTATACATATTAAACAAAATAAAAACAAGAAAACAAAAACAAAATATCATTTTGGTAAAACAGCTGTTGCCGCTGCAGAAGCACCGCGAATCTTAACTCGAAGCGAAAGCTAAATGGCAGCCCGGGTGCGAATTGCGTCAGAGATCGTGTGAAAAGCTAATGGACGAGCCGAATGCCAAATTCAATTTACAATTTCCCCGCAAACTGCCCGAGATTTTCTCCCCCCTTTCATTTCGATTTCAGTGCAGCTTCCGATTTGGCCTGCCGCGCTGCCTGCCTGCCTGCTTTTCATGCTTTTCATGCTTGCCAATTCCGCGGCCATCTTTCACTTGCCGTTGTCGCGGCCACACACATCCCTGCCTGCACCTGTGTGAGTGCCTCGTGGGTGTGCCAGTGTGTGTGTAAGTATGGAAGAGATGCAACAGCACCCAGAGATGCAAAAGAAAAAAGATCAAAAGACCTGGCTGCAGCAAGGCCCTGGGTCCCTAAAAGGAAAGTTAAAAGGGGTATATTGGGCACACAAAAAATAGCTAGAAACCTGTACAAGGTTTTATAATAATCTGGCTTGAAATTTATATTAGATATCATTTCAAAAACTAATTTAAAAAATATTTTTTTTAATATTAATGTAACTTTTATATAGCATTTATGTACTCTTGTCATTAAAAACTGGAAAATCAATTTTAACTATTTCTAAGGTAATAAATTAATATTAGAAATTCTAAACGAAATATTTTTCGAAGGAAAAACACGCTAGGACATCAAATTCAGACAAATTTTTAAGGCTTATTAATTATAATTGTGGGGAAAATTAACATTCCATTATATTTTATTGGCTAAATTCTGAGTAATCGAAGAGTATATGAGAACATGCTAATATTTGTGGCAGATCGATAATTTAGATAAATATTTAAATATTATTAAAAAATCATTTAAAAATATTTTTATTTTTAATTTTAATTAATTTGATTACTTGGGTAACCTAGCTCAGTTTAAGCCTTTAATTGTAGCACCAGTTTAGTTTTAAACAATTATCTTATTTTGAGAACTTAAATGATATTTTCAAGACCTGAAAAATTATTATTGCTATTATTTAAAGAGTATTAATATTATTAATTATTATATATATATTTATAAAGATTTTAAATTATAATAAATATCTTAAGAAAATTTAGTTTTTCTTATTTCTTAAATTATTTAAAACTAAAATTCTGTGTTTTTTCATTTAAAATGATATTTTCCTTTAACAATTATTTTAAAATAAGCTTCCATATACAATTTCCTCTAAAAAACTTTCAGAAAATGTATGTTCCCTTTAAAAATTATTTTAAAATCAACTTCAAAATACAATTTCCTCTAAAAAACAATCTCCAGGATATATCCCCTTCGATCCCATTACATCCCCCCATAATGCCTGCTTACGTAGCTTGTTGATGTTTTCCTCTAGCTGACTCTTCGTTGACGTTTGTTTATAATTTGCGTAGCGCTTCGATTTTATTATTTCTGTTGCTTCCTTCTGAAAATAATCATTTTATTTTTGATCGCTCTCGACTCTGGGCCATAAATTATACCACCAAACGGAACATGTGTGCGTGTGTTTGTTCCTTGGAAGGTAAATGAAATGAAATTTCCCCCCAAGAGGCAAGTGCCCGAACATAAATATATGTATCTTTACACATTTACACTTGGATTTTTGTAGGGTTTCAATTTGAAAATCTACCATAATTATTTTAGTTTATTTCCAGTAATTTCAGATATTTAATTTCTTAAATTTTAATATATATTCTATCTGTAAGCTTTAACTTTCAATCGTGTAGAGCCTCAATTTAAGTCTTCGTTATTTTGTTCGGGCTGCAAATTTAATTAAAAAATTGTAACAATTTGCCGTAAATTTCACATGAGCTTTGGCCAATTTAGCCGTTGCATGCGTTCGGTTCGTGTACGAGTATCTGTATCTACGGAAGAGTATCTATGTATGTATGTATCTATGTCTATCAAGTGTGTGCGTGTGCGAGTGTGAGTCAATTTAGTACGCACACGGACGTGCTACACGATGGCGTATGCAAATTGCTGTGGGGCAGGTCGCAAAGTAGCATTAATGTCGGTGTTGCCGTTGCAAAGCCGTTCAAGAGCATGGCTGCAAGTGCACTTGGAAAAATTTACACTGATTAAATAAGACAATAAGTAAAGGTAACAAGCTTAAAAACAGATAAAAAATAGATACATCTTGTAGATAAATTTACAGAATATTCGTATTTGCTTGCTTTTTCTATTGTTTAACCAAATTTTAGGAAAAATCCTTCTTTAAACCACAAAATATATTATAAATTAACCTATTTTGTACTGTAAATTAAGTTACAATAAATTCTAAGAAAATGATTACATTTTTGGCAAACAAATTCACAAAAAAAATGCCACATGCTGGCAATAGCGTCATCAGAACAACCAAAAAATTACAATGAACGCCAAAAGAAAGATCAATTGCCAAAAAGTAGTATTCACAAAATATATATAGTACATTATATATAAATATTTCTTATTGTAAACAATTTTCATTGTATTTTATTTGGTGCAACTTTTTTGCTCTCTTAATGCAATTATTTTAGTTAAACTTTACTTGATCCTCTCTTGAGTGATCTTAGCCAAGCAAAGAACAAAGGGAAAGAGCAGCCCTCTTAAGAGCTGGTACTCTTAAAAACCTTTAGACTAAAGCGATCACTCAAGAGAAAAAGTCTTTAATTATAAATCTACATTTTTCCCTAACAAGTTTTTAACTTTTTGATAAAACATTTAATTTAATTCTTTTTCTTTAAATATTAATTCGTAAAAATATTGTTAATAAACAACAGTTTCCTAAATTATAACCAAATCCTATATCTCAGCAGCTGACTGTATTTTCTGCCTCTCTCTTCGGTTTTACCTAATTTACGCTCACTCAACTACTCTTTGATCGCTTGTTCTCTTGAGCATTTTAAACTAGTACTCTTAATATATGTATGAGGGTTTTAAATTGCAAAAAGAGAGTGAGTAAAAGAGTGAGAGAGGTTTGGAGAGAGTGTAATATTGCTAGCGCTCAGCTGGTTCTGCTTTGAGATCTGCCAGCTGATCGCTGCTTCTGCCAGCTCCGCTGCCGCAGAGAAACGTGAACGTGACTCTTGTTTTTTTTTCTCGTTTAATTTTTATTTTTCTTATTGTCTCTTTTTCTCTTTTTTTGTTGTTGGTTTTCCTCAGCTCCTTTGTTCGTTGGATCTTTTGCCAGCCTCCCCGCTCCTCATCTTCCTCTCTCATCTTTGGCAAACTTTTTTATTGCCTCTGCCGCAGTCTCTGCTGCTGCTGCTGCTACTGCCTCAGTTGACTGCAGAGGCTGAGGCTGAGGCTGATCTTTTGCTTTAGCAGCAAACACACACACACACCACCATGGCATAGAGGCTTGCTTTTTGGTCTTATTTATCGTAGATTTCCTCATTTTACGCTTATTTGTTTTGAAATAAAATTAAACGACGCATGGCAAATCAAGAGGCAGCAGAAAAACACACAAAAGGGGGCCAAGAGGAGGAAAACCAAATGAACCGCAGCAGAAATGCATTTCTTCGATCGATCGGGGGGTATAGGTTTCACAAGGAAAAGGTAAAGGAAATTATAAAAATAGTTAAAAATTAATGTGAAACTTGTTAAAAGAATAATAGATTTTAAATTGTTAAATAAACATAATTCCTGGTCATACATGTCGTATGAGCAATATGATTTTTTTTTTTAACCTGCAAAAATTGGTCTTTTCTTGTTTAACTTCTAAAAACAAAGCTATTTTCTTGTTATTTGAAATATTTTGAATTTAGAATTTGGCTTCTTAGTAATTTTAACTTACCTCCGAACAGTTTTTGTTGCCGAAGTTCCCTTAGCAGGCCTGCCGTAGCTCCAAAATTGTTGAGCGTAAAAATTTGAAATCCATAAACTTGTATATCTGCCTTTAGAATTTGACAAATAATATTTACGTTGATGCGAACAAACAAATTTCGAATCAAATGCGGATCTGTCCTAACGTCCTTTTCAAACTTATTGCCCATCTTAGCCAGTTTTTCATGCAATCTAGGCGGTAATCTGGCTCCTTGCTCCTTCTCTATTGTCTTGTATTTCTTGAAGGATTCGTGGGCTGCAATTCCTACCATTATGGGAACCGTAATGCCCGCTGCCCGGACTTTTTTCACGTAGTCTATAATGATCTCTGGTCGGTAACAGGCCTGTGTGATGATGCAATCCGCTCCAGCATCCACCTACAGCGGAAATTATTAGATAAGTTTTTTTATATTTTATATTTTAAATGTTAATATATTATATTGCATGTCCCACCTTTTCTTTCAGGTAATGCAAGTGAATCTTAAGATCCGGAGGTTCCCCTTCGGCTATATTATATCCCTCTGGAAAACCAGCCACACAGACTGTTGCTTTATCTGAAAAGAAGGATTCCATTTAGTGAATTAAACTATACAAATTCAAGTAATATATTAACTAATAAAAACAGTATAGATGTCTTACCTTTGAACTTTTCCTTTGCCCTCTCCACAATAGTTTTGCTATATGCATATGTCTGATTTTCATAGATCGTACTCCCCCTTAACGCCAAAACATTGCTAAAGTTAAGATCCAGGAACTGATCCAATCTTTCATCGTTTAGTCTATAAAGAGTCAAGTGCGGCATCACGGGTATTTTGGAGGCTAGATGCTTGGCTAGCTGCAGGCTATCCACCCGGCCTAAGGGCTCCACATCCCAGGATGACTTGGCTAACCAGGCTATGCTGACGAACAGGGGCATAAACGGCAGAAGGCGGTTTAAGTTCAGGCAGACGGGAATCCCATCGGTATGGGGCATCACCTCTATGCCATAGTAGAGACGCTGTTGTAGCTGTCGTCCTTCGATAAGCGGTCCAATCCGCGGCTCCTTTACTCCGTGCTGTTTGGAGGCAAAGGTCACGCAGGGCACATACGAGAAGAAGTTCTGGCGGGGTGAGTCGACAAAGTGAGCCATGGTTGGTAGTTCGTTTAGATCTGTCAGATTTATAGTGATTGCTGATCTGCCCTGACTAATATAGTTCGACACGCTTCTTGCTGTAATTATTCGATACTTTAAAGTTGTGATTTAGGAATGGTATTTTGTATTTGAATACCTATTTATATTTTAATTAATTTATTTATTGATTATGTAAAACTGAAGATAATAAGGTTTTCCAGAAAAAAATATTCAATTCTTATATTTTTAACTCTTGGCTTTAAATTTTTAAATTTTTAACCATTTAATTCTTTTATTTTACATTTTTTTCCCCCTTCTAAACACCAAACAAGAACATATCCCAAGAGTTATATCGATTGACATATACGTCGTATGCGCAATATGCGCATTGTCCATTCTAACGGCGTCATTTGTTCGGCTTAATTGCCGATAAATAATTGCGAAAAGCGGAGTTTGCAAAACACAACCCCAAAAACTCAAGCAAAACGCTGTAAAAAGAAAAACGTAGGAAAATTCGCATTCGCACATCATTTTTCAGGCCCAAGCGACAGCTGCAAAAATAAGCAAAAAGAAAGAAAACAGCGGCGGATGAAACCTTTTAGTCCCCGATTCCATCTGTGTCATCTGGGGGCCAAACCGGAGGAAGTCAACCCCTTGGAAATGCACTGGGAAAAATAGGGGTATAGGGAAGTAACAGGAAATTATAATAAAGAGGAAGAAGTTTTCTGTAGAAAAATTGATTAAAAAATGAGGTAATAATACAGAAATTAATTTATATATTTATATTTAATTATTATTTTGTTTATATATTTTAATATTTATTTATTTATTATAATATTTATTTTTTATGTTTTTTATTTTAATTCATTTTAAAAGTAGGTCTTAATTTTAGATAAAAATATTTAAATACTTTTCTTAATATAGTTTCCCTTCTATCATTTCTTAATCTATTTACATACCAAAGAAATTATTTTATAAATATAACAAAACTTTGATTTAATTGTCAAAAATATTCACATATTTTCAAAACATTTATTATCATTAATTTTGTTTCAAAAATACCTTGAAATATATTTCAAAAGGAACCCCCTTTTTATCCCAGTGTCTCATCTTGGCACTTATCCCTTCTCCATGGCCGATCAACCGCAAGTTACAAATGTCAAATGTTGTTTTTGTCAAAAAAGAAACCTTTCACAGTGGGGCGGGGGACATCAACACCCCTGTTTGTCCTGATGGCAAGTCCCCCGAGGAAGGTGCGGTGATGCAACAGTTATATTATTCGTCAAAAAATATATATTTCTACGCACTTCTTCCGCTGTGATCCGTGACATTGACTGACATTGATGACGCACCAAGAGCCCGAAAGGATCTGCAACATTCGCATATGCAAAAAGGGAAAGGCGCAGAGGAAGGGTTTCTAAGATCCATTCATCAAGTGTCGCTTTTGGGCCAGCTGCAGGACTCGAGCCCCGGCCATTAGCCATGTCAGTCTCAGTCATTTGTTATTGTTCGACTGAAGAGCATGGTCAAGGGAAAAAGGGGTTGTCATTTGCCTTCATCTGTCTGTTCTCTCCTTTTTCCTACTAAAGCCAGCATTATGAATCCTAGACCACATCCGCATCCAATCAAAGCAGTCAAGTTATGCTCTTTTCGTTACAGATATTATCATAAATAATATGTATTTTACTATTAGGATTTGTTATACAGGAAGTAATTTTGGAAGTGTGTTTTTATAGCCTCAAACTGAATTTATTTTCAAATCATTTCCTAAAGTTCAAGCGAGACTTAATTGGAGTTTCCTAGCTCTGTTTCCTTGTTACCAAATAATTTTTGAAGATGAAGTTCCTTTAGCAAAGCTTCAACAGCTTCAAAATTGTTCATGGTAAAGATTTGGAAGCCAAATACATTTAAATCAGCCTCTAGAATACTTCTTATAATATGAACATTGAGGCGAATAAAAAATCTTTTAGTTAGGTCAGATTCACTCTGAATCTGGACAAGTTCCTGGCGTAAATCGGGTGATAGTTTGGCCCCTGTTAAATTCTCCATGAAGGTGTATTTAGTGAAGCTCTGGTGAGTCATAATTCCCACCATGATGGGCACCGTAATGCCAGCTGCCCGGACTTGTCTCACGAAACGGATAATGGCCTCAGGTCGATAGCACACCTGGGTGATGATGCAATCTACACCAGCAGATATCTGTTAAAATAATTATAAGCTTAGGTTTAATTTCTTTAAATTTAATATATATTTTATACTCACCTTTTCTTTCAGGAATTGTATGTGACTTGTTAGATCTGGCTCTACCCCTTCGGTTATATTATTATAGCCCTCTGGAAAGCCACCCACGCAGATGGATATTGTATCTGGAAATAGGGAAATCCCCTTGGTAAATTTAAAACCATAATTCAATTGGTAATAAATATTTCTTAGAAGAGTAACTAAGCTACCTTAAATTTATTTTTAACAATGATTAATTTACGCTTTTCAGAGTAGTAAATAAATTATATTTTCGCGCTTTTTAGGTGATTATTCACAAAGGGAGGCGTGACAATGAGATAAGCTACAGGTTTCGAGACAAATATATATATATATATATAAATATTTATATATTTTATTTTTAGTTTAAAACTTACCCCCTGACCTTCTTTTCGCTCTTTCCACAATAGATTTACTTATGGTATATTTCTGTCCCGAGTAAACCGAATCTCCCCTTAAGGCCAAAACATTGCGAAAGTTAAGATCCAAAAACTGATCCAACCTTTCATCATTTAGCCTATAGAGGGTCAAGTGCGGCATCACGGGTATTTTAGAGGCTAGATGCATGGCCAGCTGTAGGCTATCCACCTGGTCTATGGGCTCCACATCCCAGTAATTCGGGCCCAGCCAGACCAGGCTAACGAATATGGGCAGAACCGGCAGGAAGCGGTTGAAATCCAAGCAAACCGGCTGGCCTCTAGAACGTGGCATTATTTCCAAACCATAGAAGAGACGCTGCTGTGCCTGCTGCTCGGCAATGAGTGGTCCTATGCGCTGCTCCTTAACCACGTGCTGTTCAGGGGCAAAGGTCACGCAGGGCACGTAGGCCAAAGGATTTGAACCCGAGGAGGCCGGCGTGCAGTGGGCCATCGACAGACAGATGCTAGCACGTTCACAGATCGTTGAAAACTGGCAGTGCCACTCGGATTATCAGCGATCAGCACCGATCTAACCTAACGAATATAGTAGAGCTCGACTCGCTGCCGAGTTTTCTATTACGAAATTAGAACGGCTTGCTTGTGAGAGCGTATCTCAAAAGCTGATAACTTCTTTGATCCCAGTTTAATTTTTTCTTCTATTTTTCTTTTTGAAATATTTAATAGTTGTCAAAGTTTAAAAGCCATATTTTAATAAATTCATATCAAGAATTTAAATTGAGAACACTTGTAAAATTTAGCTTTGACTTTCGGTAATTTAGATATCCCTAAGCAATCCTACTATTAGGACACCTCATTAAATAATCCAATTTTTTGTAGCTCCTTGAGAGTAAGATGAACACTTCCGAACCTGTTGAGAGTGAAGAAGACAATGCCCCAGACGTCATCGCAGGCGGCCAGGACCTCGCAAATGAGACGAACGTTGTAGTTGACAAAGAATTGGCTAATTTGATCTGAATTCTGGCTGGGATCCGTCAATATTTCACACTGAAGCCGTTCAACTTCTTCTGCCAGATCCGGCGGAAGTTCAGCCTCGCCCTTTTTAATCATATTTTTGTAGCAGGCGTAGGTATCGGGAGCCATGATGCCAAGCAGGATGGGAACTGTAATGCCCGCCGCCCGGCAATCCTTTACGTACTTGATGATGGCATCCGGCTTGTAGCACATCTGAGTGATGATGCAGTCGGCACCGGCTTCGACCTGGAAAGGAAAATGTATTTTTTAGAGTTCAGTTTTGATTTAAACTTAAGTCAAGAGGTTGGGCAACTCACCTTTGCCTTCATAATCTTCAAGTTTCGCTCCATATGCTCCGGAGTCCTTTCGCTGCGGGTGTAGCCATCTGGGAAACCAGCCACGGATACAGATATTCTATCTGTAAAGAAAAGGTTCAACTAGGAAAGGAAAACTAGGAAAAGTCTCAAGAGTCTTTAAGGTCATATTATGTGTGCATTAAGCTCAAGTCTTGTGTAAGAATGTTGGAACTTCTAGTCTCAGTTTTGAGCTTCTTTTTTGAAAGCAAAAACTAGCTCTACACTGGTTAACTTACCTCCAAACCTGCATTTCGCAAACTGTGTCAAATCAGCCGAGAACGTAAACTCCTGCTTAGGCTCTGCATCATCACCTCGCAGGGCCAATAGATTCTTAAATTCCAAGTCCAGGAATTGATCCATCCGCTGCTTGGACATTCGATAACAGGTGAGATGCGGCATTGTGGGTAATCGCTTAGCCAAAAGCTTGCACAGCACAATGCAGTCCACTTCACTGATGGGCTCCACATCCCAATAGCGTAGGGAATGCCAGACGACGCTGACAAAGATGGGCAGCACCGGCAGGAAGGTATTAAAGTCCAGGTTCACAGGTTCCTTTCGGGTACGGGCCAGTACCTCAATGCCGTAGAAAAGGCGTCCTTTTTTCTGCTGCTCAGCGACCAGCGGTCCGATTCGCTGCTCTCCGCCTCCATTCTGGCCAGGGGCAAAGGTCAAGGTGGGGTTATACGTACACGAGTTGCGGTTTTGACCTTGACCCTGCTGGCCATCTTTCGGTAGCATTTGAAACGTCTGCAACGATCGAAACGCTCCCAAGCTGGCGAATCGTCGAATAACAACAGCTCCCGCCATCTGCAAGTGACCTTATCCAGCTGGAGGCCCGCCCGAAATTCCTGTTTGAATTTAGAACTTACGTTAAGGTATACTTTCCTGAGGCAATAGCTTCGACAGTCCAGGTTTAGGAATGATTAACAATTCAAAACAAAGGGATTTCGAGGGGTTTTTGTGTTGGAAAAATCAAAGAACACTTTGGAATTTAATAATTTGAATGAGTTCTAAGGGAAATATTAAACAAACCTGCATCTATAGGAAGAAAATCTTAAAATCTTCAGCTTCATTCAATGTGCCTGACATGTGCTTAGTCTTGTATATATAACATATTTTTACATATATGTGGGAGTGCCTTGGAACCTGTTTTTAGTCTTTGTCGGAAGGCCGTTCTATATTTAAATCTTTGAAGATATATCCATGAGGGAAGATCGCTCCATTTAGAGCCATAATACTTAGGGCACACATAAATGTGACAATGAAAATATGTTGGAAATCATTTCGTTTTGGGGGAAAGTGAAATATTAAAATAACTTAAAGTTAACCAAGAGAAGCGACAAGTATTTGGGAATTGGAAAACTGATTAGTAGACAAGGAAAATATGTCGGAAATTATTCTAAAAGCTTCAGTTTTAATTCAAGTTAACCCCAAAACTTACCTTTCGACATTGCTTTGCTATATTTCCATCCTAAAGTTGAAAGGCTAATGACTTCATGAAAGAAAAATGAGTTCAATAACCTCTCTTGGCTTCATTGAACCTTCTCAGCAGATCCTTTCTAGTTACACCACACAAAAGGTCCTTAAGAAAAGAACTTCAATCAAGGTGTAGAGCTAGAGGATTAACCCCAGGACGTGCTGGGCTTAAGGAAAATTACATTGTACCGGCTTCGATCTTAATGCCTGATTGAAGGACCTCCTCCAAATTAGCTAAGCCTCTGCAGATTGATGATGGGGTCACCTGCTGCGCCAATGGCGAAGGGTTTCCTGCTTTATTACTGCCATATTTTATATTTTATTTTCACAAAAAGCAACCAGGGATTAAATTACTGCGCGAGATGCGAAGAAAAATCTTTGATGAAATGGGTCTGGGAAATGGGAATGAAACTGCGTGCTCTCCGGGGCACACGCATGAAGATACATTTTCTTCGCCTCATCCTTAAGATACTTGTTGTGCTCGGTTGAAATTAAAAAATTCCACCGAGAGCTGGGAAATTATATTGCGGTGCCGCTGAAGGGGGGCGGGGAAGGAGTGGAAAAATGTAATAAAGACATGAGTTGTGAAATTATTAAGATGATTATGGTGGCAGCCAGCACTTGAGTGTAGGCGGCGGTAACGGCGGCACCGTCAGGATTTCGTAATCAGTCTGAGAGATGTGAAGGACTCACTTGCAGGTGAAACGTTTAAGGAGTTTCCACATGAAACGAGTGCTTTTTTTTTGAGGGATTTAATTTAAAAGAAAGGTAAGAGATATTATTTTAAAAATACAAGAAATATCAATTAAATTTTAAATTTAAAGCTGAAAACTAAAGAGATCCTTGGAGATTAGAGTTAAGTTCTGATTTATAAAATATATTTTATAAGATATTTATCATTTAATATAAAAATGTAACCTTAAAACCCATGTGAGCACTTGAGGATTACCTAGTACATACTCCCAAGTACATACAGATGGAATGGAATTTTCCATGGGCATTTGCAACCGCTGCTCTTACCTCTGTGTGTGTGTGTGTGTGAATCATCATCATCCTTTCGGGGGTTGAAACACTGTCGATTTTCGGGGGATGCATCTCAGGATCAGAGCATCGGTCGCACCACCACCACCAATTTTATTTCATTTCACTCCACTACGCTTTACCTACAGCGCCGAGCGGAATTTATCGCTTGTTGCTAAGCGGGACAAAAGGCGCAGGACACTCATAACTGGGTGAGTGGGCTGGCCGGGTTCCCACTGACTCACTGACTGAATGCCACAATGGATGGGATGGTTGGATGAAATGGATGGATGGATGGATGAATGAGTGAAGCCAAAGGGCCTGGCCAGGGCTTGGGCTCGCACCGGGGGTTGTTTCACCCACCGACGCCCGCTGGAAATCCGCATCATTATAATAGATGCACTGGGGAAAAGTATTTCATATAATTTATATTTATATAGGGAATCTTAAATTAAATAATTTTAATTTAGAAAGATGTAAACAATGCATTAAAGTCAACTATAAATATTTAAAGACAGGTTTTTGTTTTTTAAATAATGTTTTTAATTTTATAAAATTTCCATTGTGGACAATTTTGCTTAAAGAAGGTTAGTATATGGAAATTCACACGTTTTTGGAAAAGAAAATATTTTATTTAATGGTATTTATAGGAACTGGAATAACAATCTTAAGACTCTCTTTACCTCATTTTGAATATATTAATTATTTCTTGTCTTATTCTATTATATTTTCTATTATTTTATAACTATTTCTCCCCGTGTAAAATCTGTTTAGGGCAGCGAGTGTGAGTGACGAGAGCCGGCTGCCGCAGTTGGTTTCACATATTTTCCGTTCAGGCTTCGTTTGGATGGGTGGCGCAGCAACAACCCCTGATAGCATATATACCATATATAGCACATATAGCACAGCATATCGCACCACATCCTGCATCGAACGAAGGACACACCGGGGCCACCTTTGTGCGTTTCGGTTGCAAATCTTTTGGAAATTGCGTCATCGCCGTGCGGCGAACGTGGCTGGCACGCAGCAGAGAGTTTCCAGTTCCCAGTCCCAGTCCTCCTCCTTCTTCGAGAGAAATCCCCTGCAATCTCGTATGAGTTACTGACATAATTAGGACTTAACTGGAAGTCACGCGCAGCGCATTCGTAATCCGAGTCCTGCCGCCTGTTCTATATGGGGATTCAAGGTCACATTTCCATTTCCATTTCCAGCTGCGGTCGAGTGAGCCGTCAGCGATTCGATTTCATCTCATTTGGCAGTCGGCAGCTGCCCTTAACCCATTAGGATTGGTTATTTGAAGAGATTACTAAAGGTCCACTGCTGGACAACGTGGCTGGACTTCAGATATAGCATTCATTTCGATGAATTAAATAGGGATAATAAGAGAAATACTATATATTATATGGGTTAATCAATTTGGTAGAAAGAAAGGAACGATTTTAGCTAGTTTCATGGAAAGATTTTAAACTTATATCAATTATATATGAAATAATATTAAAGTTTGTCATCTATTATAGTAAAAAAAATACCTTCAAACTTGAATTTTATTTTCTAAATATTTTTTATTATTTTTATTATTAATTTAAACCATCTACTAGCACTAAATACCTTATGTTTCTTTATAATTTAAGGTTTTCTATTTATCTTTAATAATAAAACCAATTTAATTTCACCAAAACCCAAACCAGACATCATCATGTCACACCTTTGTTGCTTCGAAAATCACATTGTTATTAATTTAATGACATAAACAACATTTTGTTGATTACATATTTCACATTAACAAACATTGCTCGCCGCTATATACATAAATATATTTAATTTCACATTCACGGGCCAAAAAGTCTTGGGGTTCTCCGGATGTCTAAGTCATGCCCGAAAATGGGGCGGGGGGAATGGGTGTTGCCGGGCGTCCTGGAAAGGAAAAAAAACAGGACGCACAATGGGAAAAGCAAGTCAGCAAGCAGGCCTGCACACACACACATGCACACACGCACCAAACTAAAATATGTGTAATTTAATTATGGGCCTGCCAGCGTCGACGTCGACGTCAACGGCGGGTGGCAAATTGCCAAAAAAAAAAAAACTAAATAAATAAAAAAAATCAAGGAGAAAGTAAGATAAAACGAGGGAGTTACAGTGGAGACTAGAAGGTACCTAGTAAAGTTAGAAAATAAATTAAGTAAAATTAAAATAATAATGTAAATTATAAAAATATACAATTTGACAAATAAGAGGAATAACCTATTTAAGTATTTTTTATTTATAAAATTTAGTTTAATTTGTATTTTATTTATTTTCTAGAATCTAAAAATTAGATAATTAGTTAATTTAAAAATAATTTATTAATAAAGTGCTTAATATTTAAATTAGAATATTTAATATCCCATTTCAGAATTTCTTACATTTTGCATAATGTATATTTTAAATATTTTATAAATTATATTTTCTTCTCCTAATATTTTCTTAACATTTTGCATAATTTATATTTTAAATATTTTATATATTTTATTTTCTATTTTTAATATTTTCACAGCAATTCTCCCTTCCCCTCCTTTGCTAATACCTTTCACCAGAATACAATATACCCTTCATAGTACCGGGTATATATCGCACAGGGATGTAGCTAAAAAGGGGGAAGGCAAACGTACGCTTATATCCTGCTGCTCAAAAGTCCTGCGCCCTTCGACGATTTTCCTACTCTTTCTGTGCCTTTTGTTGCCTTGTTTTTCGGTACCATTCCCCCCGCTTTTGTTATTTTGACTCAAGCTGTGCACATTTTCGGTTTGATTATCGAACACAATATTTTTTCCGCTTTCCTTGTTGGCCATAATTGACGATTGCGCCATGAGTCGCCACAATTTCCCCCGACCACCCCCTGCACTCCGCCCACATCGACATCCTATTTCGCATCCTCTGGCCGGGGCTTTCCCTTTTAATGAAATTTTTCCCTGCGCTGGTCGAGTAAACACATTAAACAGATTTCAATTTTTTAATATTCAAGCTTTTCTTTCTCTCTCTCTCTTTCTCATTCTCGGCGTTTTTTTGGGTGGGCCAAGGGGGTCGTGGAAATTAATTTGTAATGCGGAAATTGTAAAAGGCGAAAAATATCTGAAAATTATGTTGTAATTTGGAGCGGCGACGCGAATTTGATTGAAATATTACTTCAACGAACTGCCATTAAACTCAATAAAATCCAGAGTTGATGTGTTTTTTGGGTTTAAAGTGGATGAGATTTTTAGGGGAAAATTTAAAAATTTGGATTAATGAAGTTTAGATATTAGCAGTTAGATTTACTGGAATTTATTGGTGTTTTTTTTAGGCAAAATTAATATTGAAATAAATTCTGGAGAAGATTTTAATTGATTTAAATTTATAAGAAAAATGTTAAATGCAGGAGAATTGTGTTTATCATGTTTTAAATACGTTTTTATTACCATTAAACCTTTTTATTAAATA